TAGATCCACAAGACAATCAATAGGCAGGGACCTATAACTCAGAACTAGAAACACAAACAAATTGCATGCTTGAAACATAGCAATCAGACCCTACCTGAGGTAAATTGGGTGTAACAGTACCAGCTTTCGGATTTGGCATGAGCCCACGTGGTCCTAGAATCTTTCCAAGGCTCGCAACCTAATCAGAATGAGAAGATGTTAAAATAAAATCCATAGTGACAATATTATTGAGATTTTGAACAAAAAGGAAAGACCATGAAACAAATGATAGTACCGACAACTGGAATTTGGTTAACAGAACATAAGGAAATGAAAACTATATCTCATTAATTGAATTAAGAGCAGCAAAGCAACACCTTAACCATCATATCCGGGGAAGCAATTAATTTGTCAAATTCCATGAATCCTCCTTTTATCTGTTCAATCAAGTCCTCACCACCAACAATATCTGCTCCCGCATTTTTTGCTTCATCAAACTTTTCACCTGTAAAGAAATCATATTTAAAAAAACAGCCAAACCAGAAGAGCAATTCATAATTGCCACTAAAATAGTTCCACTTAAGGTCTTCAAGTATTATCACCAGTCTAAAGTACATCATTTTAGCATGATTACTTGCCACTAACAAAATTTTTAATTAAGTAGTTCAGAACCTACGCAATCTCTTGTAAGAAATACAGGTTATCAGTTAAATCTTTCGCCCATGCACATTATCAATTATGTTTCTAGATACAGAAACAAATTCCAGTAAAACCAAATGAAAACAAGTAGACAACACATAGACTAGCAAACATTAAAGCAGAGTAACTACCTTGAGTAAGTACAGCTACTTTAACAGTTTGCCCAGTTCCCTTGGGTAAATTCACCTGTAAGAAAAGGGGTCAGAAGAAACGTTGGTTATCACATGTAACAACCAAGGTCAGTGAGGCCATTACAATTATCACGTGAAGCCTAGAAAACTTACTGTTGCTCTCAGCTGCTGATCATTATACTTAGGATCGATGTTAAGGCGGAAATGGGCTTCAGCTGACTCAACAAACTTTGTACTTGCCATTTCCTTTAACAATGATATTGCTGTCTTTAGATCATACTCCTTTTTGTTTTCCCTTAATTTTTGAATTTCCAAGAATCTCTTAGACCTTGTCTGCAGTTTGAACAGAATAAAGAATGTTTAAAAAAATTAAATTATGGAACCTAAGTAATAGTAAATTTTGGTCAGGAAACATCACAACCATATCTACCAGCCGCACATTTAACAAAAAATAATGCACAATGCGAAGAAACTAACCATTTCTGAATAATCTCACAACAAAAATCAAACTTATACAAGTTTGTGAAAATGGAAAAGGTCGGGGACCCTATATCCAATATGCTATGTCTTTCTTGATAGACAATAGTCTCTTAAAGAAAAATTGTAAAATTAAACATTAAACTCAAATTCAAGTGAAAAACCAGTTACCTAACCATAAACTCAAAAATTAAACTTCAAATGCAACTAATTATAAAAGAAAAAAGAAAAAAAAAAGTGACCACACCATCTGTTCATTATACAAAAGTCCTAGAAACAACATAAGTATTAAGTATTAACAAACTCACCTAAAAAAATCAAAACTTTCACACCCAACCACAGGTACTATTTTCTCTAAACTAAGCAGAACCCACTACAAAATGATCCAACAAACCCCAAAAACACAATAACAAAAGTGTAACAGCATTGAAAAGACAGAATAAAGAAACTCAAATTTAAAATCCACATACTCTGTCTCTCTTAAGAGGCAACGCAGCCTTTCCTTTCTTGGGCTTAGGCGGGGCAGTGGCAGTAGCGGTGGCACCCTCAGCCACTCCTTCCTTTCCCTCAGCAGCCTCAGCCACCTCAGCCACGGCAGCTACAACAACATGCTTGGAATCCCTCTGGGGACATAGATTGGCCCATTTGAGGCTGGATTTCCTGTCTCTGGAAGCCTTGAGAATGAGTGGGTAGAGAGAAAAGATAGGCTTGTTGGATTTGAAGGAGAGAAGAGAAGGAGTGAGGTCTTGCCCGTGTACTGTAGATGCGGCGTACGCTAGCATCAGCGATGATGGCGGTGTAGTGCAAGTGGCCATGGTTAAAGGAAGCTTTGCTGTTGTGTAAGTGAAGAGAGAGAAAGCTCGTTCGGGCTATCTATCCATATAGAAAGCAAGGGAACAACTGATGTTTTAAGGGTCCAGCACAGCACCTCGATTCTAGACCATTGCTACGGTGTGCATATGCTATTTTTCTTTTTTATTTTTTTCCTCTCTTTTTTATTTATATTTATGGGAAAAAATAAAGAGATATTTTAGGAAATAGACAATCAAGTTACTAATTATTTGGTCTAGCTTGAACAATGGAAACATGTTTATTAATTCGGCCGATTTAAATTATATTTAGCATTTAGAGAAATAAGA